AGTGATGTGCGTGAAAACCTAAGAAACAAATATTTAAAAATGATTGTCTTGTTAAAAAACATACAGAAAGATCGTTTGAATTCAATTTCGGGTCTAGTGAATAGACCACTCGATTCGATGCATGCGCGATATCTCTTCACGAGAAATTAATTTCACAGCGCTTAAATAAAAAATGAGTACATGGAAGGTGTGTATTATTAACATGCATCGATTTAACACGTCATAAAAAGAAACAATGCTTTTAAATGTCTTTATACGTTTCCTGTCTTAAATAAATGCTAAAGATGTATCACGTTCTACCTTTTATTGTTATGTGCAGGGCCGGATTTTGAGATGTGGAGTGGCGGCGTATTTCAAAATCTGGCACCTGGGGCCACTTACGATTTTCACCTTTTGGATTGTAACCTCTCGAAATTTTGACATTCTTATCTGTATTGCGAGGCCCCTGGGCCACAGCCCCGCCCTAAATCCTGCCCTGGTTATATATGCCAGCAGCCAGAGTTACGCATTTATTATCTCGTATCACCCCAAAGAAATCGTTTAAGTCTTTCCAATAAGGAAAATCATTTACAATACATATTTTAAATTATGTTTCAAATGGTTTCATCTGACATTTAAAAGAGGTTTCGAATTTCGCCAGTGGATTATTTTAGTGTCATAATTACGTGACGATTTATGATATATTTTGTTGAAGTATATTTCTTTCGCTTTTTTTTTGTCTTTAAAGCTTAAAAGGTTATTAACACGTTGAAAAGGAAAAATAAAGATAATATAAAAAGGATCGATAGAAAATAGAACATTACGACCAATAACAGAAAAGTAACTTTGTAACTAGCTAGCATAAGATATTATATTAAAAAATGGCTTTATTCCCCTACTTATATTCCTGATTATTATAAATTATAGTTAATAAAATCGAAGACAACTTCTGTACACAAAATTGCACATACAGAGTCTTATCTTAAATTTTGGCATTTTTTTACGTGCAGTAAAAATGTTTGACTTCTTGTCTTTTTGGGGTTTCGTCCCTCAAATGGAAAAAACCCTACTCTATGTTTCGTGTGTCCGTCTATTAACATCTATTTTTAAGATAGAAGCTTTCGCTTAGGTCAGGCACCAGTATCTCGCAATGTTAGGAAATACGCGAACATTGTTTAAATGAAAAGCTGTAACAATGTAGATTATTACAGAAACAAAATTGCTTGATAATCGAGTGATGTAATTTAATTCAATTCAATTTAAATAATTTTATACTCTTTGACAGTTTTTTTGGCCATCTCATTCTATGCTAATGTTTGTGGTTAGAAACATAATGGTGTTGCGGAGAATTTAATGTGATTTAGTTTCCTTGTCGACAACAACATGAATGATTAATAGATATACGAGTATATACACATAACGAAAATGCCTAAGCAACACGTATCATTTAGTATTTCCAACATACACCAATTAGCCTAGCCCCAAAGTAAGCACTGTAGGCTTGTGTTATAGGATGTGAATAGGGAAACGGATAGAATACATATACAGATACATATATGTATATATTAAACATGATTGGAGTACAAATTATTATTATTAATTGATATGAAATTTTATATTGGTATACAATCTTTTCATGTTCGATTGTGTTTGGTTTTTCATAAATTAAAATAGTTCAAGAGTTCAAAACCTCACATGTTGCTGACTGTGACTTTTTAACCGACGAAAAAATAGAGGAGGTGATCATGTCGACGCGTATATATTTTTTTTTATTTACGTATGATCACGCATAATTTTTTGTAGAGAAGTCTGATTTAGATAACTCTTTTTTATTTGAAAAGGTATACTCCGGATTTGGAACCTTTTTACCTGACTGCGCAATGCAAGAGCAACAAGCGCGACGCGCAGACAGGGCATAGTGTTTAACAGTCTTTATATGTATGTATATTCCTATGTGGCACACTAGAGACCAAATGCCTGGACCGAATTTCATGGTTTATACGTCAATCGATTCGTCTTAATAATGGGAGTGCTACTAAAGATATGATAGTAATTGAAATTCAATATGGGGAAAATTAGGCGCCATATTGTGAAAAAGAAAAATAATAAGTAGACGAATTATGTCGAGTATCATTGTCTAGAAAATTGAAAATCATGTTTAGTTTCCTCACATTATTTTTCATTTTATATGACTGTTTAGGATCTGCAACGATTTAAAGTTGTATATTATCCACTTACGCTTTAATTTCAATCTTACATTTGTATGGATCTTTGTTACTCTTTCACTCAAAAAATATGTACTAAATGGAATTTAATGAAACTTAACAGTAATACAAAAACTTAATTTAATGAAATGAAAGTGTAAAGATAGATGATGTCTTAGATTTACGTCTTGCACTGCCCTCATGTGGCGATGAAATACTGGCTTACAAGATAAAAATATTGATTAATATGAAATATATTTTTTTTAAAATCTCAATTAAATTGCCGCCGTGAGAATTAAAAAGTTACGTTAAACGATAACCTCTTCGCAATTGAAAATTGTGCGCGTGCGTCGATATAAATTAAACACCGACTGTCGTTTATCTGACGTTAATGTGCAGAATACCGATAAAGCTACGGTTTATTGCCAAAACATACAATCTGGCTGGTGTCGAGTTTTGGGTACCGTAAGTTTTATTGGTTATGGACAGCCAAATGATTTATAAAGCGGTTTTAACGAACTTCCTAGTTTACGATAAATCGCGATATGAAATATCTGATTAACCCATGATTTCATGCAAAGCATAACTTTGAAATTTCTTATTGCTTTCATGAGGTGCTGTTGAAATATGGTCTATACTAGCGTCTAGTCTTTATACTGATTTGTATTTTTGTATGTATGTAACAAATAAGCTCAACAATTACTAAACCATAATTTTACACGTAATATTTGTTTCCGGGGCGAATCGCTAGTTGGTTATATATGCTATAAAACATAGTTTATATTTTGTTGCTTTATTTTACTTTAAAGTGATGCAATACCTATTAGCGAAGATGTGAACCTGCACACGACCTTGCCTTTTAGTCACATTTAATGGAGTCGCATCTACGGAGGCTCTCATCTGAAATTGCATACTTGTCATAAGGAAGGCTGTAGGGGTTTTTAAGGAAATAGCAAAAAGGTTGGTCGACATCACCGCTGACCGAAGAGCTGGGAGCTACAAAGAATTAGTCTAGCTATTCAAAGGGGGAACGCTGCCAGTATCTTTGGAACCTTGCCTAAAGGGACTCCTTTTAATAATGTATTTTAGTTATTATATATTTTAAGGTTTTAAGTTATAAATACCTGTCATATATTCGCACAATAATTATAAGGTAATTAAATTATTTATTCAATTTAACGGCAGGGGAATCGTAATTTATGTCAACGGACAAAAAGTGCTTTCAAAATTACTTTTTTTATTTTATACCTGACGTAAATGACACTATAATCACAGTCGTTGAAGAGTCCAAGTGTATTTTTCGATTTCGCGGTAGTCATTTTGTTAACGTATGATTTTTGTTGAAATAATTTGAAAGGGAGCTTGGGCAGAGTTGTTAACCGCACGAATTGGAGTGCCAATCTTATTAAGTACCTAGCTTTCAGAAATCAAATACAAATTCTTTACTAAACTAATAATGAAATAAAAAATGATCTTTTTGCCTATCCACAGCAACAACACCGAACTGCTGCCAGACAAGATTACATGGTCTGAAAGTCAGCATTCGGTTAGTATGTTAGAGTATAGTATAGGTGAATTCGTAGTGTCGTGTCGTACTCTACCACATCAAAGAAAGCTCTGTAAGCTACATCAGCACTGCCGTTTTTGACCTATTGGAGGCCCTGGGCATATTAGGATAATGGGGCCCCTATGTCTTCCGTTTGGTGATTTAACAGGAACTAGGGACTTTGTATTTGATCTGAGGGGGCCCCCTATCGATCGCGGGGCCCTGGGCACTTGCCCAAAGTGCCCACTGGAAAGACGAGTCTGTACATCAGTATTGTAGTCTTAGGCCCGTGTACTCTCAACTTTGAGAGCAATCTTGAGTACGATCTTTAGACGCTGTTTTGTATGAATACAGTATCTCAAGATTGTAATCTCAGAGTTGAAAGCGATCCTTACGCGAGCGATACGGACCTTAAAATTGAATTTCGATATTTCGTTATATAGTGGTACCCTTTAGAAAAGAAAGAAAAGAAAGAAAGAAAAATAAATTTATATATTTACAGTTACTTGTTTTCGATCACTCCAATATTTTTAGTTGACTTTCTTCGACACAAAAGACACTCTTGCCTTGAGAATTTTGCCCTTCTTGCAACGTATCAAAGGCACAGTTGATGAACTTGTATCTACCAAAGTAGTCTCGATCGAACTCTTACTTAAATTACAGTGTAAATTATATTATATTATAGTACTCAATTTCCAAGTCATCATATCATAAGTTTTCTTGTATCACGTCGCAAGTTACGAGGTTTTAAAAAAAACAAAACTTAATCAAAGAATGACTGACTTTATACTAAAAACAAAAACACGAACGGAACATATAAAATAACAAGCGGGTATATTAGATCCAAGAACACAAACCTAAAAAATAAAGGTTCTAAAGTCTACAATCAATCAATCTTACAATCTGGCAAACTTGTATAATTCTAATCTAGCATTCTTTGAATATCGTTGATTTTAGGCTATAGCATTTCATACAATTTCCAAATTCATTACGAAAACCCGACATCCGTTATGTTAATGCTCGTAAAATTGGATATAGTGGATTGTATCAACAGTAAACTTTGTTCAACTGCCTTTTTTATTAAAAACAAAAAAATCATTATTAATATTCATATTTAAATTTTATGGGTGTCTCGTTGTTTTCTCTCGTGTTTGATATTTTTTTTAATTGAAAGGCAGAACTAGAACACTTTAAGTATATTTTGTTTTTTTAAGTGTTGGGGATATTCTGAGGCTTATGGTCCTTATTTAAGTTTATTTTATTGTTTGCAGATGGAAATGCGGCGGTACAGATCTGGTGGCACGTCTTTTTTAACATATTGGATATTCTTCTTACAAGTAAGTCTTTAATTGCTATTTATCTCTGATGAATATTCTAACTCTAATAGAACAGGCACCTCGCACACAAGTGCCCATCTTGATATTCAAGCGACGATTAAAAATAAATGGTACGTAACCTTCAAAATCATATTATACGGGTAATCCATGTCAAAACTTTAAGTTAAGATCACAATAAGCAATAAACGAAAAAAATTCTTGTCATTAGTGAGCGTTCGGTTATTAAACAAACGAATAGAAAAATGACACCTTATAAAACCAACTGATATTAATATGCATTTTGATTCATCATCAGCCTATTAATGTCCCCACGACTGGGGCACAGGCCTTCCCTATGGATGGAATAGGGAGATTGGGCCATGACCCACCACGCGGGCCCAGTGCGGATTGGTGGGTGCTAACGACTGCAGATGCAGCCGGGACCAACGGCTTAACGTGCCTTCCGAAGCACGGAGGAGCTCAAGATAGTAAATTTTTGGTCACCCATCCAATGACCGACCACTGCGAAAGTTGCTTAACTTCAACGATCGCAGCCGAACGCGCTAACCACTTGCGCCATCGAGCATTTTGATTAAAAGCACTTATATCGGGTGTCTGCCGCCGCTTTGGGTAATAGACCTAGGGTTGCCACCTTTTTTTATGTCCAAATAAAGTACATTGGATATTAAAGGTAGAAATAAAAGTACATTATGTCCATTTAAAACAACATTTTTTATTCCACTTTATAAGTTAGCTTAAAAATATATTTTACATTGCTTCTAGCAACTTTTAATAATTATAATTTTTATTTTTTATAAAGCATGTAACTGCTTGATGTTTAAATCTAAAGAAAATATAACTAGAAAAAATTCCACGCGGACCAGGCAGCAGATGGGTCTCGAACCCGCACCCTTCGCAATCCGGGCGAATGCACTGACCAATTATGCTACCGCGGCCCTCACCTTGCAGCTTAAGAATGGCTAGAGGAATTTCGACGCGGTCTGTGAGGGCCGCGGTAGCATAATTGGTCAGTGCGGGTTCGAGTCCTGTCTGCTACCTGGTCCGCGTGGAATTTTTTCTAGTTATATTTTCTTTTTTAACTTTTAATAAATCATTTGGGGCTACCAAAAATCTGTAGTTCTTATCCGCAATGGGAAAGACCATTGTATAAAGCCATACAGCCGCGGCAATGTTGCAGGAATGAGCTAAGGGATATATTATACATACTGTCGTTACGTTTTACGCAAAAATACTAACAATATCAACCTCTTTTTGTATATTTTATGTAAATTTATCCTCAAGTAATCAAATAAAGCATTTCACGTACTTTATTGTTGGCATAAAGTACACAGAAATCCCGAAATAACGGGTAAGTACGGGTGGCAACCATAAATACACTGGCAAGGGCGGATCCAGGGGGGGGGGTCATGGGGGTCATGACCCCCCCCCCGCTGGGCTGGGTCCATCTGTACCCACTTCACAATCTGTACCCACTGTGACTTGAACACGAATATATGACCCCTCCCTGGCACCAAAGCTGGATCCGCCCTTGTACACCGGTCATTGGATGGGTGACTAAAAATTTATTATCTCAAACTTTTCCGTGCGTTTTCAGAAGGCACGTTAAGCCGTTGGTACCGGCTGCACCTGAATTCATTATCACCCACCAATCCGCAATAAGCCTGCGTAATGGGTCGTGGCTCCCATATCTAATTCCATGCGATACCATACCTATGTACCCAGCAGTAGGGACATAATTATGAAAAAAATATTTCCAATACTTACGCTGCTGCGCTGACAGGCTTGTGCTATGGAAAACCAGAGTAACAGATAGAATAATACAAATACTGATACATATATAAGTATATTTTATGTGGAAATACAAATAAACATCCATGACTTAGGTACAAATACAATCCATTCAACTAACATTTGCCCCGTCGGGATTTAATCATTGAAACCCGGCGTTCATATCGTTCGGCCACGGAGGTCGTCATATATATAATTATGGAGCCAGTATTAGTGTCAGTAGGGATATAAATTAAGAGCGGATGCAAGCTGAGAGACATTTGAGAAATAGATATTTGAAAAAACTATTTCAGTCACACATTGGCAAATAACGAGCAATAGGGACAACAGTACCTAGTTAGTGTCGCCGCACACGGGCCACCAACCACAACCACAAAACGCCGTCACCGGCATATTTCTTGTAGTTTTCATACATTTTATATGGACTCGCCACATACGGTACGCCGGTGGCCGCCACACGCTACAAATCGTCGTTGCTCGCTTCCTGTGGCCCGCACGGGTCACTTAATGCACCGATACAAAACACCGCCACACGTCACTCGCGCGATTCCCCACCACCCTCTCCCTTACCTTAGTCGGCCGCTGTCGCGCGCTTCAGCTGCTTTAGTAGCCGCTTCTAGCTTCTCGTGGCGGCGTTTGTGGCTATGGCGTGTGGCCCGTGTACGGCGACACTTAATGCTGCAAATTGCGTATAAAATTTGCAAAATTCGAGGTTTGGCTCTTGACGATTTTCTCACTCGAAGATTTGATTTTATGTAAAAGAAGTTTAACATAAAGAATAATCAGTACTTAGACTGTGAATGCTTATTAAATCTCCACACTGGATGTCTTGAGTGGTGATAAATAAAAAGATTATTTTTGGCCTTTTTCGAGGGTTGCTAGTTTCTAAGAAACACAAGTTATCGAAAAGGAAGACAGGAGCATACAATGAGTAAAATTATATTTTATGTATGAAAAGAGATTCTTTAGTGATAAAATTCAAGGAGGAATCAGTCGAGAATGTTTGTATGGAAAAAAACATTGCACGCCTCCCCTTTTAAGCTTTGATGATGATATAATTATGTGCTCCAGATGCTGGGCAGCGCACATCGCGGGGCAGAAGGCCACGGGCGGCTGATGGACCCGCCAGCTCGCAACTCCATGTGGCGGTTCGGATTCCCCAACCCCGTCAACTACAACGACAACGAGCTCTTCTGCGGCGGATATGCCGGTAGGTACGACCTGTTCTTACTCCAATCATTTTTATTATAGTGGACGAGCAAATGACTACTCATCCCTGCTTGTTGTTTTAAAGCGCTCATTACTCAATAGGCGACAACGGAACCTTGTTTAAGCCTAGGCTTGAGGCTTAAATAAAGAAGTGATAACTTAATCTAAGCAGCGCTGCGAGTTAGAGTGCGAGAGGAACCTACCTGTTTTTTTTTGATACGCTGGGGAAATGCATTAAATTGCATACCACATGGTGGGACTCTCCTAACAAGGGGGACCCCCCGGCCATGCGGAGGTGTCGTCCCTCCCAGGTCGCTTCCATGAGCACAAGCTCCGTCGTGCTCATCAGCGACCTGCGGCATCACATCAGGCCATTATCTGGCCCGACGCCGCCTTCTTCGAGCGGGATCGGCCATCTCCCGATCCCGTTCGGAGTTCGGAGTCCCAAGCGGGACAATCCGCCAGCGTATGCTGGACCGAGGAGAGGAACCTACCTACCGCTGCCCTATGCCTGAGAGAAAGGGTAGCCAGACTGACAGGCCCTAAAGAGTTACGTATCGAAGCGTTTTGCCCTCCCATAAGAAGTTGTCACTTCAAAACTTTGCTCGGGATCGGGCTTAAGGCGGAGATCGTTCAACCTTTCTTTCATTAATGTACAATTTGATAAAGTTAGTGTTAAGTTGTTGTTCCTACGGGTGTGTTAAACTCTCCTCTCTAAAACGTAGGTAATAAGCTCTTTAACAATTCAAGCTATATTAAAGTCTAAGTTTATTACCAGGACCTTTTTAACACTTTGCCCGTTGAACAACTAAGTATACTTCTACTAAAGATCTCTCATAAAGTATAACCTGCTCAATAAGGTATGTCGGAATGAGCGACAAGCAGATTAATCATCCGAAAACAAAAACGTGGGAATCAATATCTTTAACGTAGGTGTACAGTACACTGAAAGTTTTTTAGGGTTCCGTAGCCAAATGGCAAAAAACGGAACCCTTATGGATCCATTATGTCTGTCTGTCTGTCGGTCATCCGTATGTCACAGCCACTTTTTTCCGAAAAAATAAGAACTATATTGTTGAAACTTGGTAAGTAGATGTATTCTGTAAACTGCATTAAGATTTTGCCTTACGCGTGGGATATCTGTGGATAGGTCTTCAAAAATAATATTAAAGTTTCTAATATATATTTTTTCTAAACTGAATAGTTTGCGCGGGAGACATTTCCAAAGTGGTAAAATGTGCCCCCCCCCCCCCCCCCTCCTGTAACTTCTAAAATAAGAGAATGATAGAACTAAAAAAAATATGATGTACATTACCATGCAAACTTCCACCGAAAATTGGTTTGAACGAGATCTAGAAAGTAGTTATTTTTAATACTTCATGAATCGTAAACCGCAATTTATAAATAAATATTTCCAACACTTACACCAATTAGCCTAGCCCCAAAGTAAGCACTGTAAGGCTTGTGTTATGGGATTCTAGGGTAACGGATAGAATACATATACTGTACATATATAAGTATATTTATATAGATATACATATTAAAACATCCATGACTGGAGTACAAATGCTCGTATTCATCACACAAACATCTGCCCCCACCGGGATTCGGGACTTCTCGAGTCGGCGACACCATGAAACTCGGCGTATAAACCACTCGGCTACTGAGGTCGTCAAACCTTCATTCAATCAACTCAAATATAAATATAATAATAATATTTCATTTCATAAACATAAACCTTATGCATAAATCGTGAACAATTATTTTCTAACCCTAACAAGAACTATTATATTATGTAACTTGCTGCTACGGAACCATTCATAGGCGAGTGCGTCTCGCACTTGGCCGCTTTTTTATTTATTTTATGACTCCGGGGCATTATCCTTGCAATGCTTTCAAGACTATCGACAAACATTTTTTTTTCCTATTGATTAGTCTAATGATGCGCGAAGGCTGTGCCGAAAATAATGTGAGGCCAGTGAACTCCGCGGTCATTACTGCAATGACTATCCTCTTTGTTTGTGAACACAAGAGGTACACATTGACCTTGTGTAGGTTACCTATGTACTGTCATGTGAATACATAAATGTACTCTTTTTATAGAACAATAAAAAAAAGGTACGGTATACATACATACGAGTACATAGCATTCTATCATCTTTATCAAAAGCAACGTGTAATGAATGCTCTGCGACAGGATCCTTGTATTTTAGGTCTCAGAGCGGAGCATGTGCGTTGATCTGGATAGCGAAGGCGGTAGGTTCGAGTCCAACTTGTGGCCTTATGTTTTACTTGAACACCTTTCGCTATCCTCTTCAGAGTTAAAAAAAAATTGTCAATGTGAAACAAATACAGGGTGTAAAAAAACCATTGACGAAGTCGAAGCCCACGTATTTTCTACTACATGACGATATTTTTTTTCTTCTCGACCATACCTGGGAAATTTCTGGTTATGGAGTTTTTGAAGGTCAAAGTCACAATATTTTTTTCAAGATTTTTACATTAATATTTTCAAAACGTAATTTAGTAACTTTTAAGTTTTTTGCATAGTTTGAGTTTTTGTCATAGGATTTTTTACACCCTGTATATGATATCACTTATCTTGTTCCCAAATATTGGAGCCGCCATATACGGGCAGCTTGAAGCAGCCGGGATGGAGTGCTTCAAGCTGCAACTGCATACTGTATCCCTAGCACCAACCAATATCGAATTCGAACAGTTTGCGAGTCCGAAATGGCATTGTAAAATTTTGTATCGAAACTTGAACAGCAGAGCCACAAAGGACGTAACGAGAACCGAAAATCAGTAAACTATTCGAATTCGATATTGGAACCAATAAATCCAAGAATAATGGAAGTTACGTCATTTGTGGGTCTGCTGTTCAAGTTTCCTAACAAAATTTGGCAATGACATTTCGGACTCGCAAACTGTTCGAATTCGATATTGGACCGTTCGAACAATTAATATCAATGGCAGATTGAAACTGCTGACTCTGACTGCTCGACTAGTCCGTGTATTGTATGTTCATTACTGGCTAACCGCTACAATACGCCCCTCTGGTACCTGCAACAGAATACATTATATAAAATTTATCTAAGTCCAAAACAAGTCTTTTGTTGCTTATAATCAAGCAAATTATACGCTTCTCACGTTAAAAACAACTTGTTTGGTTCCAGTTCAGTGGGAACAGAACGAGGGTAGGTGCGGGGTGTGCGGGGATGCGGACCACCTGTCAGAGCCACGCCCGCACGAGGCTGGAGGCATGTACGGGAAGGGCATCGTCACCAGGCACTACAGCGTTGGTCAGGTACGGTACCAGTACAGAGAACCGGACGAGGGTATGCTGGTGGCATGTACGGGAAGGGTACCGTTAACAGAGACTACAGCGTCGGTCAGGTATGGTGCCAGTTCAGTGAGAAAAGACGAGGGCAATGCCGTACGGGAAGGGCATCGTCACCAGGCACTACAGCGTTGGTTAGGTATGGTGCCAGTGCAGGGTAGCTGGACGAGGGCATGCTGGTGGCATGTACGGGAAGGGCACCGTTATCAGAGACTACAGCGTCGGTCAGGTATGGTGCCAGTTCAGTGAGAAAAGACGAGGGCAATGCCGTACGGGAAGAGCATCGTCACCAGGCACTACAGCGTTGGTTAGGTATGGTGCCAGTGCAGGGTAGCTGGACGAGGGCATGCTGGTAGCATGTACGGGGAGGGCACCGTTATCAGAGTACGGGAAGGGCATCGTCACCAGGCACTACAGCGTTGGTTAGGTATGGTACCAGCACAGGTAGCTGGACGAGGGCATGCTGGCGGCATGTAAGGGAAGGGCAATGTTATCAGAGACTATAGCGTCGGTCAGGTATGGTGCCAGTTCAGTGAGAAAAGACGAGGGCAATGCCGTACGGGAAGGGCATCGTCACCAGGCACTACAGCGTTGGTCAGGTATGGTGCCAGTACAGGGTAGCTGGACGAGGGCATGCTGGCGGTATGAACGGGAAGGGCACCGTTATCAGAGACTACAGCATCGGTCAGGTATGGTGCCAGTTTAGTGAGAAAAGACGAGGGCAATGCTGTACGGGAAGGGCATTGTCACCAGGCACTACAGCGTTGTTGGTCAGGTATGATGCCAGTACAGGGGAACAGGACGAGGGCAGGCTGGCGGCATGTACAAATAGAGTTTATATACAAAAATAAAAATGAGCGAGCCTTACAATAGTCGCGTATGACGTGTAACATTTGAAACCTCACCTCATATTAGTAAAAAAAGAAATAAAACCTACTACAAAAGGAATAAGCCATTTGAACATTATGTTCTGAAATCAAATCAAATAGCGCGCGCTTTCGCGACTTCCTGTTACACACTTCCGTCCCATTTCACGAAATCACTTCCACAAATTGCAGGAAAGTGAGAGGAACTCACATGATGTTACACATCAAAAATTGCCTTTTTTGAATTACTTGCATCAGTGGCGTAGCATAGGTCACTAGCACCCGGTGCGGATTCCAAATTTGCCGCCCTCTTATTTTTGCAATCCATTATAAAAAAAATGAGGCATGGTAAAAAGAGTACTTTTATTGAATAACACTAACCTAAGAGTGAAATTAACATTTTTTGACATAGAGTAGAAGGTAGACTATCACAATATCACTTAGAAAAATTACAGAGAAAACGTCTGTAGGCGTGCCTCACGCATAGGTAAAATACTACTTATGCTTGGCGTAAGCGCTTGCCCTTGTATGCGGACTCTAGTGGGGGTGCTCCGTGAGTAAAAAGAATGCGTAAGGAGACATATTTATTTAAAATAACATTGAAACTTGAAACGAAATAAGTTTCCTAAATAATAGTTATTGAGAAACCTTGCGCTTGCATCACCCATGTATAGAACCTGCATAGGTACCTGGGTATTTGGTAACAACAACAAAAAAATTACGAAAAAAAACTGAAAGAAATTAACTTTTTTTTATATTTTTTTTTTCTCTATCTGCCACCTCCGCAGCGCCGCCCCCGGCAAAGTGCCGCCCGGTGCGGACCGCATCCCCCGCCCCCCCCCCATGCTACGCCACTGACTTGCATACTCCTATTTGCTCCACTAAAATGTTGAAAAATGTTACAAAGTGATATTATATTTTCTCCTCTCTAAAAATTATTCTTAAATTAGTTTAAAGTCAAAAGGTCGATCTGTGTGATACTATTTCACATGTATGTAGCATTTGTAGTTTAAATGGTTGTCCGTCCAATATCCGTAACTTATATTAAAATTACCAAATTGTTTTTCAGGAAATAGACATCGAAATTGAATTGACGGCGAATCATCTTGGAACTTTCGTAATAAAATTATGCCCGAATAATAATCCGAAACGAGAAGCCAGCCAGGACTGCTTTGACAGGTAATTAATACTAAGTAGTTGTGTTACATAAACCAGTACTTTGTATAAAAAAAATTAGACAAAACCTCTGATGATCAAATCTCCCTTTTCCATCTGTATTTATCAGAGTGCTAATTATTGTGACCACGGAACTTTAAAGGTTCTTAAACATTATGTATAGCATTGAAATATATCATCCACAGCGTTTTGGATTGGGTCATGTTGGACAACGATCAAGTAATACTCTGGTATCTTAAGCATCTATTGGTAGGTTCGCTCAACAAAAAAAGACTTGCCACTCTTGTGTTTTTTATAAATGATGGAGCCAGCGAATAAAACCTTTTTTTGCGGCAGGTACCCCCTATACATATCGGACTCGCGCGAGGACCGCTTCATGATTCCCCTGGACACGGCCAAGAAGGAAATCTTCAGATACAGGGTGCGGCTGCCACCTTACGTCACCTGCACGCAATGTGTGCTGCAATGGACTTACTACACTGGTAATACAGCCTATCATTTTATAGTTAGTACAGTAGGGAACTTTTTCAAATTAATTACATTACTCTGTATCTAAGCTAAGTTAGCTCACTTATAAATTTTGGCATGAGAACCATGGTTCCATTCACAATGAATGAAATTAATCGTCATTATCATCATTTTCAGCTTATAAATGCCCCTACTTCAAGCGCACAGGCTTTCCCAATGGTTCGCATATAAAGATGGCCACTAAGCGTGGTAGTGTGGATTGATAGTTGCTAATGACTCCTTCTGAATCACGTAGGAGCTTGAGATAATAAATTTTGGGTTACCCTTATCCGATGACTGGTTAGTGCGAAACTTGCTTAACTATCCTGACCGTTAAGCAAGTTTCGCACTAACCAGTCATCGGATCATCGGTCAGCCAGCGTGTGGTACGCACGCGCATAAAGTAATTAATTTAGACTGCGCTGTTTTACGTGATGTTGTAGCCCAAGATTATTTATTATCTTTGAAGTTCACACTATAATTTCAAAGCTGTTTTCCCATCATAAAAGACAGTTTAGTCAATATAGAATTTAACGTGATTTAGATCATGATTATTATATTAAACAGTCACGTCACGATTTCTCTCCATAAAGCCCATTAACTCCGCTACCCAGGTAACATTTGGGGCATCTGCCCGAATGGCAGGGAGGCGGTGAGCTGCGGGCGCTCGGAGACGTTCCACAACTGCGCTGATGTGCCGGTGGATTTTTGTATTGCGCTTTATTACGTGACTATCGGCCACGCCACGATTTTAGCGCTCTGCCCCCCATCCAAAAAGTTTCCTACCTAAAGATATTTTCATCTCGAAACCACTCTACCCAGGCAACATGTGGGGCATCTGCGTGAACGGCACGGAGGCGGTGGGGTGCGGGCGTACGGAGACGTTCCACAACTGCGCTGAGGTGCCGATGGATTTTTGTATTGCGCTTTATTACATGACTATCGGCCACGCCACGATTTCAGCGCTTTGTCCCCCCCCCCCCCCCCCCCCAAAAGGTTTCTAACCTAAAGGTGTTTTCATCTCAAATCCTCTACCCAGGCAACATGTGGGGTATCTGCGCGAACGGCACGGAGGCGGTGGGGTGCGGGCGCTCGGAGACATTCCACAACTGCGCTGATGTGCCGGTGGATTTTTGTATTGCGCTTTATGACTATCGGCCACGCTACGATTTTAGCGCTTTGTCCCCCATCCAAAAAGTGTCCTACCTAAAGATATTTTCATCTCAAATCCTCTACCCAGGCAACATGTGGGGCATCTGCGCGAACGGCACGGAGGCGGTGGGGTGCGGGCGCTCGGAGACGTTCCACAACTGCGCCGATGGATTAATTTTTATTACGCTGTATTGCATGACTTACGGTCACGCCCCGATTTTAGCGCTTCGTCTCCCATCCTAAAAGTTTCCAACCGAAAGATATTTTTATCCCAAATCCTCTACCCAGGCAACATGTGGGGCATATGCGCGAACGGGACGGAGGCGGTGGTGTGCGGGCGCTCGGAGACGTTCCACAACTGCGCTGATGTGCCGGTGGATTAATTTGTATTGCTCTGTATTACATGACTATCGGTCACGTCACGATTTCAGCGCTTTGTCCCCCATCCAAAAAGTTTCCTACCTAAAGATATTTTCATCTCAAAACCTTTACCCAGGCAATATGTGGGGCATCTGCGCGAACGGCACGGAGGCGGTGGGCTGCGGGCGCTCGGAGACGTTCCGCAACTGCGCCGACGTGTCGGTGGTGACGAGCGCGGGCGGGCTGCCCCCGGCCTTCGCTGGCTCTGCCGACCTGCGCCGCGACTACCCCTTCCTGCTCTACTACCGCGACTTCCGCATGCCGCAGAACGTGTATCCGCTCGTCGTCAGGTTAGTGGCCATTGGGGAAATGAATTACCTCTTTAATAAATTTAACTTCGTGGTAGTGTCAATGGGAACAAGGGACAAACGAGGAGGATTACCTCAAAGAAAAAACATTTATTTATTTATTTATTCTAACACTGTTACAATATTTTGACAAATTATACTCAAAGCCCCTAGCAACTTCACAAACGCCGTATCATACTTACTACCTATAACTATACTATAATTTATTCATTTATGAATTTTATATTCCATTTTATATCCATTGTCAGTCTTAGAAAATCATTCATATAATATTTTTAACTATGTATGAAATTGCATATTGATTATTAACTGTAATGTTATTTATATTTATGTAATACATATATAACTTCTATAGTATGCGAAGTTGATTGAAATGCTGAGATGTGCCTATTTTTTAAAGAGACAAAAATTTTCTTTCAGGACTTTTTAAACGTTTCAGTCAGCTTCATATTATGCTTAATATTTCAGAGATACACATAAAGACACCGAGAAGGAATCTTACGTAGCGATTAGGTAAAAATATGTTTTTTTGTAGTAAATTGAAATGAAATATCTACAATCAAATATATTTATTATTAAGTGTAATGATTATATTTTATGAAAAAATGTGAAATATTGTAATATACACTTTGTGTTAATAACGTGCACTATAACTTGTGTGTAATTTTTTCCAGCAACGATATTGAATCAGATGAGGATTTCACTACACCCGTCATTAGGTATATAATATTGTTTGTCGTTGAATGCGGGCTCCGATTGGTGGAGGCTGGAGATTGTGTCTACTATCTGTTGTGAATAATTTCCGAGTTAGATTTATGTTGTAAATAATCACAAAAGTTGTGTTGTATGTATCTAATAGCTGATTTAAAGAATATAAATATACATTCATAAATACATGGTGTTCAAAGTAATGGGACAGTTGGTGAAATTAGTATTACATTATAATAAAAAAAGATTTTAGTCAAATTTATTAACTTTTGAAGCTAAAGCAAGTAAATAAATTAGAAACTACTGTATTTTCGATACACAATATCCCATTTAATTAATACTTCTATTGTTTTGTACATTCTGTATTATATATATGTATTTTTTACCAATTTCCCGCTCAGAAAGAAGCTGAAGACGTATGTTGTATCGTTTATCCTTAAGATTTTTTTCTTAAGGATATGAAAATAAATTGTTTTAGTCGCTATGTACTAATACTTTCGCACGTTCTTTAAGAAACGCCAAAAAATCGCATCAATGTAATCTAGGAAATATCTTACATGCTTACCTGTAGGTCAAAATAATGTAAAGAAAAAACTATACTTATACATTCTTCAGATTAAGAGAATGTTTGTTTTTAGATTTGCATTAATGGAGATTCGGCTTATTCAGTTGATCCTCTTGGCGCAATCTATTTACATGCTTTTTTTATAAGTACCGGACACATAAAATTTTATTTTACTATTAGCATATTTATCAAAAAGGCATCACTTTTGGCTGACTGGTTCCGAAGATAAATCAAGTTACATTTTGTGTAAAGGCGAATCAAGAAAAGAAAGCAAGGGAATCAAAATCATATGTAGTAATATGTATGAAAATATTTTTTTAGTATAAACACATCAGCCTGTTTATTGAGTAAATTGGCACTTTTATCCTTAAATAATAATAATTATTTAGGGTGAAATTGAATGTTTCAATAAAACTTCGTGAGATTGGTGGGTTACGTGTATAGAGTATGCCTGATTTTTTTCGGATTTTTTAAAAATTTTTTTTACGTGTTTTATTTTTTTATTTGGTTATTATTTGCCATTTCTTCCTTATGAGTAATTATTCATTTTAAACACGTCTACATAGAAGTTGTAAAACCACTTAAAATAAGCACTCCTAAAAAAACGGAAACTTAATGAATGCCTCCAGTCCAGATCAGCCCCGGCCGGGGGCGACGACCGGCGCCGGCGGCTGCCTATCTAGGTACCTACGACACGCACAGATGACTCGGCGCTTACCTACTATCCGCTTCGATTCCACACTATTTAAAAACATTACAATAAAATAGTCTTATATGCTATATTATAATTATTTATTCACTGATACACAATACCTTTGAATATTATTTCATAAAGCACAGGTAATTAATCAATAAAATAAATCTTCTGTTAGAGCAATTAAAAATCCTATAAAGTTAATATGACTGTCACGATTTTAAATCGGTAAAGACTGTCTGTTAGTGTAAGGACTTCTTTTTTATTGTTGATGTTAGTTGCCTCGTTTAATTAAAACTTGAGCAAACGGTGAAAAATTATACAGAGCAAATCGGTTTAACTTACGAGCTTAGTGAAGGAAATAACTCTTCGTGACTGATTTGCCCACGTCATGAAATTCCAAACACATTTAATCACAGTCACAGTCACAGTCACACACACACACACACACACACACAATATGTTGTTTTGCGGCAAGCACGGTCGGGCGACGCGCCGCCCGCGCGCCTGCTGGCAAGACAAGTGCAGCGCTGGCGCCGGTCGCGGCGTCTTTTATGATGTGAATCCGTTTTCGTTTATAGTGCGCGTTTTCCTTTCAGAGAAGAAAGAAACAGCACGATTCGCCAAAGTTTCGCTAAAGGTGCGAATACACTAAATCAGCAATAGCGATGTATTGAACAATCTGACGCTAGTTCTCCAACATTTTTATCAACAAATGAATGAATTGTTGTGGATACAACAACTTTATAATTTTGAAATGTTAAATGTTTATCATGTTGTTCGATTAAGGCACTTCGCGCACTAGACGACCGCGGCCACGATCAGTTGTGGACGTGGCCGCAACCTTGGTCGCAGAGGCGGTTGGGCTGCGGCTGCGGTCTGCGGCCACGACCACGACTGGTCGTGACGCTACCATATTGCTGGTCGTTTATTTCATTAATTAATAACTCTGTATCAAAACTTATTGTAGAAAAAAACGTCGTCATATTCAGTCGAAGAACGGTATGAAACATGTTCATTCACGAACTGTTCGCATGATCTTGACACTGAGATTGACCGCATTCGCTGTCGCAGATCTAGTGCGGGCCAGTACGACTGGTCGTTGCGACTATCTTCCGTATAGCTGGCTATGAGCGCTCGCACTCTAGATCTGCGATCGCAAATGCGGCCTGGTCGCTTCAGCCATTCTCAGTGTCATGCTGATAGTCAAAGAGCACGCTTCGTATCGTTCCGCAACTCTATAGGACGAAGATATTTTTCTGCAATGAGCTTTGAAAGAGTTATTTATTAATGAAATAAAGAAACGACCAGTAATATGGTCGCTTTACGACCAGTCGTGGTCGTTGCCACAAACTTGTCCGCAGTCCAACCGTAGCTTCTGCGATCAAGGTTGTGGTGACGGCCACGACCACGGCTGGTCATGGTCGTGGCCTAGTGCACGACGTGCCTTAGTTAATCTGGTCCTCGCGGCTCCTGGTCGTGGTCATAATCGTCTAGTGCGCGAGGTGCCTTACTGAGGCAATAACAAATATCAACGGCAGTTTTTTTTGTAAATGTTTAACTATAGAAATACAAGGCTTTACTTTAGTCTTAGTCTTAGTAAGTAGTACGGCGCGGGCTATTTCGGCATGATTATGTGAAAGCACCTTAAAAAGTCCTGCCTTTTATGTACGCCGACGCTCGCCCGCCCACCTCCCCTCTTCCCCGCGCGCGGTGCTTTGCTTTGATTGCAATGCATGCAAAGGGCAGTCGCAAGTATATCAATCGCGCGTGCGCATATTTTGACTTAGTGACAAACACTGTGATAATTTCATTATGCCTCGGTATACGAACCAAGAATATTTAGAAATGGTGTACTGCTATCGCGAGTGTGACGAAGTGCTCAGTAAAGTAAAGTAAAAGGAACTAAAAAGACGCATAGAAGTTGCATTTTGTGCAGTGAGAAGTGACAGGGACACTTTAAAAAAGGTAGAAAGACACGTCCGCAAACGTGCCTACCTTTGTTTGCAGCAAAATGGTGGTATAGTGCAACAATTTTGCAAATAATAATTTTAGTCTCTTTTTTTGCTAGCGTAAATACTTTTTGATTCGAAACAACTAATTAGTGTACTACCAGTGTGATTGATTTGATAAAAAGTTCTAGTGAAAAAAATGAATATGTTCCTCGTTCCTCGTTGTACTTACTACATCGCCGGTCTCGTAAGTACTGTCTAATACCTAGTTATAAATTTCTTTCTGACCCAAGTATTAAACTGCAATAAGTATTTGTTTTTGTAACAAAATTATTATTAACTTTTTAGGTATTTTTCTCTGCTAATGAGAAGATAACACTTGTTCTTTATTTAAATTTTGTCATTGTAATATGACATCTAAGGCCCGTATGAATAGAACGATCTCAACTCTGAGAGCGATCTTGAGATGCTGTTTAGTATGAACACAGTATCTCGAGGTCGTAGTCTCACTGTACTGTAGATAGGTACGCGCCGCGTCAGCTGTGCGCGCGCGGTCGTTCCCCCCGGCGTCGACCTCGCCTGGCCACATCAACTATTTTTCGTTTATTTTAATAGTGCTTATTTATTTGTTATATTTCACTTACTATGAATACGTGTTTAAAAATAATTATCACTCAAAAGAAGGAAAGGACATAAAAATGCAAAATAAAAAAAATAAAAAACGAAAAAAATAATTTTAAAAAATCCGAAAAAAAACAGGTATACTCTATACATGTAACCCAACAATCTCACGAAGTTTCATAGAAACATTCAATTTCACCCTGTATATAGCTGAAAGCTACAGTGTACTAACAGGGGCGTCTTAACCATATGCGGCGCCCGGGTGCGAAAGCCAACAATGCGAACCTTTTTCAAAAATTTTGACAAATTAATTTTTCGTTGTATAGACTGCTACAAAACATAGAAGAAATAAATCACATAAATAAGCAAGCATACATATGTATGTATTATAGTTTGACCGAGTTGACTAAAAAAAGTAGGTAGGTAAGTAGGTAGGTACTATCTACCACCAGATTCATTCAGATGTTGATTGCCCGGCCCGTCTGGCGCCCCCTAGGGCCCGGCGCGCCCGGGAGCGGCCGCACCCAGAGCTCCTATGGGAAAGACGCCCCTGTATACTAAACTACTTAAAAACAAACTAAAATTTTAAGAAACAATACTTTTTATTTATTAGTTTATTTCATACTTTTGAGCTAGAACTGCTATAAAAACGTATTAAAAAGTATATTTTTAAGAAAAAGTAAGAATAAACACATGACAAATTAGGAAAACTGTGATTACCTTCGTGAAATATCAAGGTGATCAACACCAATGGATTCCAAAAAAGTACTATATATGTTTTTATCGATTGTACAAAAAGTATTATTTATTTTACATATTGGATAAAATATATAAACAGGGGTAACATAAAGCTATTGTGTAGTGGTAACATTCAACAAAAAGTCCCAAAAATCTAATAACATTTTTCAAAGTGGTCAGTGAAACAAAACCAGGGGTATCGAATGATTACCTTCATAATTTTGTTCTGGACTAACTAACAGCACAGTATACCCCAGCAGTATATGAAGCACTACTAGAGCTCGCAACAAAGTTTGACACTCCTCTGCCATAGCTTTCGACTTTCACATGTGCTTGTAAAAGCCTAAACTGAATAAATGAATATTGCACTTAATTGAATAGAACATTTCCCAAGGGGCGTACGCGAAGTATTGTGACGCGCCAGTGGAATCATCATTTAGCCCCGAACAGACTTTATATTCTAATTCTAAATAAAACTAAAAGAAATACATATACTATATATTTTTCTCGTATATCAACAACTAATATGCTATAGCTTAAACCGGATTATATATTTAATTTCCATTAGTAAATTGGTGTATTGCTGGTAGTTTGTTCACAAAATGTGAAGCGGGCACGCCAGGGGATATCAAATATTAGTATCTTAGGATATTTTTAACTTTATCTACCTAAATAAGACACATCAATTATCGTGCCACAGTTAGATCGTACATTACATTAGCATAAAAAATATTTTCGATCCTTGTTTTAATGTTACGTGTACTTTTTTCCTCCGGACTATGAAAATTAAGCCTCTCAAGATTCACCCTAATAAATTGTTAGCGTATCTAGTAAAACTTATTTGTAGAAAGAATACCTAAACTTTTAATTTGTAGAAATATAATTCTTTAAATTAATGTAAATACAGTATTGTGACTAATACATTTGTGTTATCTTTACCAGTGCCTACAAAATACCTAATCTGTAAATAACTTGTAGTTAGATTAGTGTAGTTTTCCTTTACCCATAATAATGAAAACTGTATTTTTTTTTACTTTTTGCATAATCTTTTGTATGTACTTGACTAACACAAACCACCAGACTACATTTTCGGAAACTGTATTTTTGATAACTAAAACAAGTTGTTTTTGTAAATTTACCTGTAAATACTTAAATGTGGAAAATATGTTCGTGTAAGCAGCCATTAAAACCTGATTCACATTCAGGCTCGATGTATAATTATTAATCAATGAACAAATAATAATATATTTATTTTATGCATTCAATAGGGTATTTGACAGTATTAAAAATAAAGTGCCAATTGTTAGCATCTGTGTTTAGAATGAAAATTGGCAGGGGTTTTTACTATTTTTACAAAAAAAAATATTCATAATTTTACTAAAAACCCACGAAAAAGATAATAGTTTTCTTATCTATTGTCACGTGACTCAAAACGGTTGGGATTGGCGGAGCCTAAAATGACGTCACACGCAAGTAAACTTCCGGTTAAAGTGACATTACATTGTATCGTTTGATGTTTTAATAACAGTCGTGTGACGTCACACACTAGTAAGACGCCATATTGTCCAGAAAAACGTTTTCTCGGCAATTTGAAAACGGATTTTCTGATTTGGTTATTTTTACTCAAATACACAACAGAATGATGAATATCCATAAACATTAGTCAATAACGTGTGATCGTTTTCTAAAACTTGTCAAATACCCTATTGCTAATTGTGATTTATTAAGTTAGCCTTGCAGCCCCAAATATACTTAGTAGAAGAATTTCTACACGTCCATTACGGTCTTGATATCATAGGCGGTGTCAATGCATTCGCTCCGGATAGCGAAACACGCTGGTTCGATTCCAGCCTGAGACGAGTTGATGTTTTCCTAGTTTTTTTTAATTATAACGATTTTATTATACAGCGATAAGTGATTGCATTTCCTCGATTTCTCGCAGACATTGATATCGAGCTCAGGCACTTATCGTAGAAGATAAACTAATTTAGCAGATTATTCACACTTCCTTCAATAACTTCACATATGAACAAAAATGTCGTTAATATAAAAATGGATGACATTATATAGTTGCAATATGTAACTAACACTTGTACCTCAACGTTTTCCAGGGATCAAGTGTGTGTGCCCACGCAAGGGTACCGCATGTTCCCAGGCATGCAGGAGTGGTGCCAGACCAACTGTCTGCGGTACCCGCCCAACTGCCCGACCGCTCTGTGCACTTGCCCGTAAGTATTATTTAAACACTAGCAAACCAGTGAACCAAATGTTCACCAAAACCTGATTTAAAAAAAATGTATTTAATTAATTGAGAACTTCGGAGATTTTGTGTGGTTTCGTTTGAAATTCGTGATTTCTCGAAAACCGGAAGTGCTACGTTACTCAAATCCGGTTTGTAGTCTTATCAGACTATTCTTAACTTATAACTTAAATATTCTCTTTATCTATCTCTTACGGTTTGGCCGCTGAAACAGCACCACAGACGGACGGACTTGTCTAATAGATAAGAGACTAGCAAACCAGTGAACCAAATGTTCACCAAAGCCTGATTAAAAAAAAATGTATTTAATTAATTGAGAACTTCGGAGATTTTGTGTGGTTTCGTTTGAAATTCGTGATTTCTCGAAAACCGGAAGTGCTACGTTACTCAAATTGGGTTGTAGTCTTATCAGACTATTCTTAACTTATAACTTAAATATTCTCTTTATCTATCTCTTACGGTTTGGCCGCTGAAACAGCACCACGGACAGACGGACTCGTCTAATAGATAAGAGACTAGCAAACCAGTGAACCAAATGTTCACCAAAAAAAATGTATTTAATTAATTGAGAACTTCGGAGATTTTGTGTGGTTTCGTTTGAAATAGAAATCACGTGATTTCTCGAAAACCGGAAGTGCTACGTTACTCACATCCGGTTTGTAGTCTTAACTTATAACTTAAACATTCTCTATATCTATCTCTTACGGTTTGGCCGCTGAAACAGCACCACGGACGGACGGACGTTTTTGTCTAATAGATAAGAGATTCTTTTCTATAAAATACACTCTAATAGTTTTCAACAACCAGGGGGCCCTTACAAAATAACGATATCACCCACTCTCGGGAACAATGATTCGTGCTCATTAACTACACAAAGTTTCACACGGACCCTGGTCTATTGAAGCATAAAACAAAAACTGCGTTGCACGGACTAATCGTCTTATTTAGTTTTTTTTATATACAGGCAAAACCGAATATAACGACATCGTTTATAACGACGAGTCGGTTATTACGACCTATTGGCAAGGTCCCGGCCGAAACCCTATATAAACTCTTAAGTAAACAAACCGTCTATAACAACACCGGATATAGCGTAATACCGCTTAAAACAACTTAAAGCCAATGAATATTGATAAAGTTTATATTGCTATTCAGCCGCTATAACGACTAACCGTTTTAGTTGTTACAGCAATACAAAATATACTGTAGGTACTTAAATGTTTTCATAGTAAAATTATTACTTCGATTTTCGATATTTTATTTGAAAACAAGCTTATATTCATTATCTATAACCATACTTCATTCATACATTATGATAATAATATGACTACTTTTGTATATTGCTTATAACAACTATCGGACATAACGCCCGAAGTTATATGGTCCCTTCAATATCGTTATAACCGGTTTCGACTGTATTACTTTCTCAAGACAAGTTCCATTTTTCAAATGTCCGGGCTCGCTTCTATGTTACTCTATCGTCCGAGCATTATACTTATCCTTTCAGGTCCTTGAGATGAACCTATTATAGAAATGGTATTGCTATAATTAATTTACAGGCAAGAATGCGACGCTGTGGGTGAAATAGAGGGTCGAGCCGGTGCTGACGTTTACTGCATGGACCAGTGCATCGTGTACCCGCCGCACTGCCCCTACAACCGTTGCAAATGCTACTAACTTCACTCCACTCCTGACCGTCCAATAACACGCTCACCGGTGCGAAGTGTACTGCATCGACCAGCAGTGCATCGTGTACCCGCCTCACTGTCCCTACAACCGGTGCAAGTGTTACTAACTTCACTCCGTTCCCGACTGTCTAAAAACCACGTAGCATCCCCTCTAGCAAGCGCCTTTGTGCCAAGCGTATGTAGTAATACTGCATTCAATACTCGATGCAATTATGTGAACTTCGTTTAACAAACGACAATAAATTTTGTTTTATGTCAATTTAGGTAGAATGATATGTATAAAAAAAAAACAATTGGGATTTCAATATGCAATAAAAATAAAAAAACAACGAAAATAATTTTATTATTGCATTTAATAAGTTATAAGTACCTGCGAAAAGTGGTCATCAGCGTATGCATATCTTCTTTTTTAAATTGTGTTGGATATGATGAGAAATAAGTTGATGAAATTGTACAATGGTGATTTTGTTTTTTTTGTCAGAAATGCTAAGTAATTGTAAGTAGACAAGGACAGTTTTTTCAACAATTAATATTTTCATTTCTTCTTTTTACTTATTCCGATTCAAATATTTGTAATAAAAGCGTTTGTAAGTAACAATATAACAATCAATGTAATTAATTTCACATTTGTACAGTTGTAGTATATTATTAAATATAAGTAATAGATAATTTGTAAAAATAAATAAACTTAAACGACATTTTCTTGGAGTTAAATAAAGTGAACACTTACACACTACATTATTTATTACTTCAAATTAATGTCGTTATTTTAAATGGTTAAGGTTTTGTATCAACTTTTTCAAAAATTGTTTCCTACTTTACGTAACAATAATGCCATTAAATTGTGCCAGATGTTACGCGTTACCCGTACGCGTTACAATGAAAATATAACGAACGAAATAACTATTATCATTTTATGTAATTTTGTAATGAAGATATTTTTGTAAAATAAACAAATAAAAGACTATTTACAGATTTTTTTTAAAAAGTCGAGCTGACAATATAACTCCAGTAAGCTTTTTTTTCCTCGATGGCTTCGCACGGCTTGTGCATTTAGCCAATGTCAAGTGTTAAAAATGTTTACAAATTCTATAGCACTCGTGGTCAAAGTATTATATCAAGTCAAAGTAAGTGGCAGTCAAGTCAATCCCCCTTTCCCTGTGTTTCAGTAAATGTGTGAGGATTTACTGGACGTGGACCCCGTGGACTTCTTGAGGGAACGTCGAAGGACACTTTCCGCTATTTTGTTTCACTTGCCAATACTTGTGCATGTTCCCGAACACTTAGTGGTTAATAATCCACCGTTATTAGACACTAACATCCGCCACAACACAATTTTTAACAAGAAAAACAAAACTGCTAAAGTGACGCTTTCTGATCCCGCCAAAAAGTCCTCCAGTAAGCATTTGAAATCATTTATAAAAATATACCCAAGTAGTATATTTACACGCACATAAAACAATTACGGAACGTCATTTCTCTACGGAAACGATCGATCAAAAGTGGAAATAAAATGGAATCAATGCTTTAAATTTTACCGCGCTTGAATATACCTATATGATAGTAAGTTGTTATCCGGTTCCGCTTTTATGTTGACATTGTTTTCGTTTCGTTATCGTGATTTTAAATAAAAGGTAAATATCGGAATTTTAGGTAAGGATAAAATATTAATATAATCTGTCTCCCCGCTGTATTTTTATTATATTAACAATAGTGAGACCCACCCAATTTTAAAACTAAAAACAAATTGGTATAACAGTATAATAAAGTAATAAAATTCTCGTGTCACAGTGTGCTTAATTGAACTGCTCCGAAACGGCTAGACCGATTTCGTGAAATTTCATATTCATATTCAGTAGGTCCGAGAATCGGACAACATCTATGTTTCATCCCCCTAAATGTTAAGGATGGTCCACCATAATTTTTTTTTTGACAAAATTTTTGGTTTTTATTTTTTTATGATGCATCATACAAAAATACATATACCTTCTACCACCAACCCCCATTTCTTTAAGGCGGTACAAAGTTTGCCGGGACAGCTATAGTTTTTATTTAATAATGTTGCCGCACTTGTGGCAGGTAGCACCATGGTAGCACGAAACGTTGTATGTCAATTTTTTGACATTGACATGCGCTCTATAAACGAAATGAAAGAAGCGAGCGGTCGATTATTTACGCAAAGTGCTAATAAATTAAATGAAGGAAAATAGTGTGTAAAACTAAGATATCTTACGCTAACATTATGAGCGACTTACTGGACGATGACTTAGAGTTTCGCGGCGGTACTTTGCAACTTTCTACCGAAGTTGTTTCACCAGACACTTCGGGGCAAAATCAAAACAATCCCAATCAAAGCGAGTCCATTACAAATCAACCTAAGGCTAATGTTAATCCATCAGTGTTATCAGGGGCAGATTCTTTATCATCATCTTCGTCATCATTTGCAGGTAAAATTGTTTAGTTGTGACTAAGTAATCTTTGATTAAATAGTTATTAAAGCATGTATAATTTATACATAATCAGGGGTTCTTCAAGTAAATAAAGAAACGATTATTATAAACATTACAGATCTGGCCTAAACTATACTTCCAGGACCTAAGTGGTGATACTTCACACACTAAGTTAGGTTAGTGTTGTGACCATAACGCGCGAGCCGAGCGAGCGAAGCGAGCGTGCCGTAGTAGCGGCCGGCGAAGCGCCAGAAAAAAGAAATTAAAAGAGACCTTTTTTGTAAAAAAAAATCGAGTATTAATCACCTCATGGACCCTTGAAGTACAGTTTTACCGACATTTTTAATTTTGCAATACTTAAGTGGTAGAGGTAGATCTTTATAGAATTTTGGTATATTGTAGATGCCAGAGAATCTCGAGCTAATGGTGCAACAGCAGAAACTTCAGAGCCTGCACAGCCAGTATACCCTCGATATGATATACCATTTGACAAAGAGAATATCAAAGATTTCTTCACTTACCGCAGAGGAGTTGTGGAAAATGCTATTCAGGAATGCATTACAGGACTTTTATTCCCTGAGGATGGAGAGTACCTTGGTTCCTGGCTGCTTACAGAGTAAGTCTAATCTAAACGTTTTATATTCACTTATCACAATAAATTTTTAACAAAAGAAAGGAAAAAAAAGGTTTCATTTCTGTAGTAAATTCTACTTTGTGAATCAATATACTGATTGATACTTTATTGAGTTTCTGTAATTTAAGAGACTTATAATTTACCAAAGGTATATATCAGTGCTTGTTTATAATATTTTGAATAATAAATATTTTATTGACTACAGAATCACACTATGGGATAACGAAAAGGAGAGGATTGTACTCTTGACATCTCGATTAGTGATGACTATCAAATATGATTTTATCGCAATGAAACAACTGGAGTTCAAAAAGACATACCTTGATGATCTGGACACTATAGTGATTGGCGAGTTAGTTTATCCACCTTCATCTCTGGTTCCGTGAGTATCACTTTAAAATTAAATTTAATTAATGTCATACTTATTATAGCTCAATATGTATTTTATTTTTGTTTTTATATATTTTTTCTGCTAACAATGACACAAAAGGAAATCATAAAAGCTACAATGTTATAATTGAATGTAAAATAAACTCAACAATATTATTGTGGTTTTCATGAAATATTTTAAAGTATGACAAATATATTTTTTACTGTTTGCATTCTGATACATAAATATTTAAAGGCCACACACATATCAATATTATACATAGAAATATTGAATGATACTTTAATAAGCAATTAAGATTAATGAATTATATTGAACTCACAGTCGCATTAATGGCATCGCTACTGGTGTCACCACAGTGGTGAAGGACTGTGTGATAGATCGGCTGTGCAGGCGGCCAACAGACAGCGACGGAGACTCTAAACTGTTCGATCCCAAGTATTTTGAACCTAGGTACTTTCAGTTGCGGTAGACGCTACACATATAACTTAAGTTGGTGTGCTTGCTTTGTTTTATAATACACAACTGTTGTTGGCTGTTGGCAAGTTTTGATATGGATTCTAAACAGCATGTTTGCGTGATTACTCTTTCTTTTATTCAAACAAACTAATATCATATAGACTCATTTAGTTGGCTTCTATTAACATTTGATAAGTAATATGCATTAAATAAAAAAACTTTGATAATATGCTAACTTATGTAACTTAAGGTAAGTACATATTGATATTCTTACTAAACATGTAATTTGAGATTTTTCGGAATTAGGGCAGTTTAACCCTAATTCCGAAAAATCTCAAATTTTTAAATAACATACATTATGTTATCATCTATTGTTTGTATAATGCATGTGTTATAAATATAATTTAAAAAATCATTAATTAATCCTAACCTACACACTAATAAAAATCATCAATGTTGAGAGCTTGTTAATAATTTAGAGATAAGGTATAATGAAATGAGAGTAATGAACAAGTAGATGTTTATAATGTAAATGCTACTTACAGATTCGGCTTGCTTGACTGAATATCTGCAAAACTAATTAACCTTTGTTTAAATTTAACACTTAATTCATGTGCATATTGTTATTCTATGGAAAATATTTAAATGATCCTCAAAAAAATTGTAAATGATCACCTAAAAATATACAGTAGAACCCGTTTAATACGATCACGCTTAATACGATTTCTCGCATAATACGCCACTTTTGCGTCAGTCCCTGCAACTTGAGTCATGTTTTCATATATTTCTTAACGCTTAATACGATTCGTCATTCCGTTTAATACGCCTAAATCGCCGACACGTACCACACATTATTACCCTTAGGGACCCACAGATATTACCTCTTGCGGCAGCGGCTAGCGATTGACATGACGACTGCACGCTAAGCGACCCCCAGGGTATTCCTCGATATTCTTCCATTAACACACCACACATGTGACACCGTACGAAATTTAATCAATTGAAGATCTTATTGAGAATGCGAATAACACACAAGAAGAGGCCCTAAGTGATAATGATCAAGAAGAAGATGAGTCAACTCCGTTTTTTTTTTTTTTTATATTTCGGTCCGACACATGACTCCACTCCACCTGATGTTAAGTGAAGGTGAAGTCCAGACGCGAAGATAGCTGATACAGCAGTTCTACCTGCCACACCAGCCATCCTCACCCTGCCGGCCTGCATGTTGCTTCTTCACGCCTCTTTTAAAGGATCCCAGGTTGTAAGGGGGAGGGAACACGTGAGCGGGCAGAGCATTCCATTTACGGATAGTGCGACAAAGAAATGAGTCACCAAATTTTTTTGTACGCGTTGGAATTGTGGCCACAGTAAGACGGTGACAACGTAGGCCAGCGCGCGTGGTCCTCTGAAGGAAAGGGGAAGGTGGGATAAGAGAGAATAACTCTTCAGAACACTCGCCGTGGTACAAACGATAGAACGCGCTTAGTGACGTTTTGTCACACGCCCAGGCATTATCAGCAGTTAATGATTTAAGACGCTATGTAACTTCTTTGAATCAAAGCGAAGACGCGCTGCAAAATTTAAATTATGTTGAAAATCTTGTAATTGCTAATGCCTCAATTTTTTTGTCACACAATAATTTGTTTTTGATTTGTTTAAATACAAACGTAATTATAATGCACAAAATTTTCTCTAACATACATAATTCGTAAATATAGTACATTTAATACCTCAATACCTACATTCGAAATTTGCCTATCCCGCAATCCCGCATAATACGCTTTCCCGCTTATGAAGCGTTTTTGGTTGAGTCCCTGTGAAATCGTCTTAAACGGGTTCTACTGTAATTGGTAACTTAAGGTTTAATTATGTTTTTGATGATTATTAAATATGAGCCTTATTCTATTGTCATCTTAAATAAAGTGACTGCATCAACTCTAAAAAGTAATTCGACGTCTCTATGTGCAGTCGTAAACTAAAAACAACATTATAATCTTATTATAAGGTTTTCTTTTCAAGGGAGCGTAATCTCCGTGGGGTGCGACTGATGTGGAATAAAGGAGAGCCTGTGCCAATGAAGACTGTTTGGAATCCGTTCAGCCAAGATGTGCCATTCATCACGTTCGCGTCACATCCTGTGTTTTGGCATAAAGGTAATATATGTATCACACTAATCACACTTATATTATAAAGGCGAAAGTTTGTAAGTGTGTATGTTTGTTACTTCTTCACGTCTAAACGGCTTAAGCAATTTTAATAATTTTTGGTATAGAGTTAGCTGACCCCCTCGATTAACACATAATCACGTTCGCGTCACATCCTGTGTTTTGGCATAAAGGTAATATATGTATCACACTAATCACACTTATATTATAAAGGCGAAAGTTTGTAAGTGTGTATGTTTGTTACTTCTTCACGTCTAAACGGCTTGAGCAATTTTAATATTTTTTGGTATAGAGTTAGCTGACCCCCTCGATTAACACATAGGCTACGTCTTAGTCTTAGTAGAACGGCGGGCAGTTTCCGCAACTCGACACCCAGTGCCTATTTTGCGTGGGGAATGGCCTAGGCCGACGGAATCGGAGGCAGCGAGAGCGGGTCAAACCGGCGCGTCTTCTAGTGATCGCGTACCGCGCGTGATCACTGCCGGCAAGTTTTGCTTTTGCGTTTTACCTGCAATTTCTCATTCTTCGCGAGTTGCGGTCCCGCAACCGCGGTGGGCGCGGGAGGAAATCGCGCCGTGAGTTTTTAGCCTTAGTCACGTATAGGGCTGCCATCTCTAAAATGTGGCAACCAGGATAAGATGCGTGATAAACCCGGATTTTGAAGCCCAGAACCCGGACAGACCAATAAAAAACAATTAAAAATGTCACAAATCAACTTTTTTATGTTGATCTAGGCAAAAGAGCTAGCGGTCTACCTCATAATTAGTGCTGCCCATGGACACTTGCAGCACCAAGGGCCACTCATGTGTTGCCGTAAAATTTTAAACCCGGACTACAAATAAAACCCCGCCCGGACGCTCCCCGGACGCCCCGTAAACTAGGACAAATCCGGGGAAACCCGGACGGATGGCAGCCCTAGTCACGTATGACTCGCGCTTTTAGGCGCGCGCCTCGTACACTAGTTATATCTAGCACCTTCAATACAATGTAACTAATTATTGCCACGGTCACTGAAACTCACAAACAGCGCTATAATGTTAGACCGAACCAAGAATTAAAGCGATTATAATTTTCTCTTCACCAGAGGGTGAATTAGAAGACAAAGCGACGTATGACATGGAAGTGTTTGCTCAAAAACTGCAGCGTGCCATCGAGACGATGCCCTCCTCGGCTTGCTGCATACACCACTCGCCAATCGTCATCCAAAGCTATGTGGGCCTCACTTCGATCCTGCACAACAAGGCCAGCATGGGCTTCTTCAAAGTCAGAGGGAAGTTTAGCTTTTAAAACGGAAAATTCAAACTTGAACTACGGTTTTCGAAATCTGAATTACTAAAACGAGAAAAAAGTATTGGTACACTGCTCAATGCGTATTTTAAAGGCATGGGGCATTTAGTTGTTAGCACATTACGCAGTCATCAATCGACTGTGTGTACTGTTATGATGATAAATAAATTGTATTTGCAGTACATTCCAAGCTTATTCCTATAATTGTTTTTTAGTAAAGAATTTCTGACGGTCTATAACAATGCTGTAAACTTATCTGAATTAAGTAAGCGATAGAAAGTATTGGTATACTCAACGTTATTAAATACCCTAGATACACCACGCGCGCTAAAACTGTGTCCCAATGAAGAAGTGCTTGAACACACCTCAAGCACTTCTTGGTTCACAGTCACGCGCAAACCAAAACAGAGCTCCGTGAAAAAATGCGATAAATACTTATAGTACGTAAAGTGTAGTTTATTCCACAGGTATCTTATAAACAAATTTGTTGTAATACTTACTATGAACTGATTTAATAGAAAATATTTGTGATTTTCAAATCCATGGTCGGTAATATAGCCGTCTCTTTTCCTCGCGGTCCGTAACTGCTATTTTGCTAACAGCGCCATCAGAATTGAAAGAACCAAAGAAATAAAGTCTATATTCTTTCGCATACAGCAATAAATCGTAAAATTTTAGGAGCTTACATTTCGAACCGTCATAACTCTTTGACACATGCGTTCTAATTAAGACCTTATACAGTATGTATTAAAGGTGAATTTCAATGTTTAAATAATGCCTTATATTGTTTTTGACTGCGCGATCATCTAACGAAGCTCGGTAGAACGTCCAATATACCTTTTGGACAGGTTTCGGCCACGATTTTGTTTGTGTTAGTGTATCTAGGGTATTTAATATCGTTGGGTATATAGCTAAACGCATATTTAAAAGGCATGGGGCATTTATTTGTTAGCGAATAACGCATTCATCAATCGACTTTTAGCACTGTTTTCATAATAAATTAAATGTATATGCAGTACAGTCAAAGCTGTATTTTTTAAGTAAAGAACTTTTGACGGGCTATAATAATGCTTTGAACCGAAATGAATGCTATTAAATACTGTTCACCTATATGTATGACTCTTATTCAAGGTAAATTTTATGATTTGAGTGAATTTTAAAGTACGTCACACAAATTTCGCGTTTTTTTAACCCCTCCCCCGTCCTTCTTACAGTTGGTCACATTTGTGAGTGGTCCCCCCCCCCCCCCCCCCGCTGTTGTAGATAAAGTTCTTAATATATTAAAGTTTTTTGATAATAATTCAAAATTATTTTAAATATTAATTATTAGAAAGTATTAGATTTTGAAATGTGACGTCAAGAAACTTAAGACCCCTTCCACCCCTTGTCACACAAGGTCATACTTCGTCGAACCCCCCCCCCCCCCCCCCCCGCGCCCTTAACGCCTTAACGTGTGACGTACTTATCGACGTATGGATGACCCCTAAGGATGCTATGCCGCTAATTGATACCAAAGTTAGTCATCTAATATATATTTATATATATAAATAAATAACTGACTTTTAGTTAGTCAAAATAGCGATAGGAAATTATCATGAGGCATGAGAGACGAGTATTAATTATGAACTTCTGTCATTTTACTTTGTTACAAAATACAGATCTATGCCTATATATGAGCCTAACTGATATGATCGGTTATTGTTATATAACTTTCAAGTGCCATGTATATATCGTAGAAAGAATGGGAAGCCTTTAGTTAAAAGTTATTGAAATAACATTGAACTTCACGTTGAAAGAAAATATGTTTCTAAATCTATTTCCAATCAAATTCACCAATGTGCAAGTAAAAACCACGTAAAGATATGATTCTCTATGTCTCTCTTGAGTTAGTCTTTACTTTGTTATCATAAAATAAAGTGCTATTACCTACGATTCGTTTCATACAACCTACTGGCGTACAGGTGGACAGCGGAAAATTTATAACTTTGAATTAAATCTTTGTCAAAATTATTGTAAAATTTATATAAAATTGATATTTAACTAAAAGTTATTTATTATTTTTTCTCAATATTGTGGAATATGTACTTTCTCTTTCGAGTATCTCTTTATTGTTGATAATAGGGCAAGCTAAAAAAAATCGTTTAATTAGAGTGCCCCAGTAAGTGCAAGGGTTTAAAGTTGTAAGATTGAAATTATTAATGTAGATTTTGCATGGAGCGTCAAAAGAAGATTGAATTGCTTAGGTAGGTACTAATATACCGAAAACTTATAACTTATTCAGTAACGTAGTTAGGTCAAATATTTATGATCTTATTATTCTAAATTTGTTTTTTGTTAAAAAACATCAAAATAATTAATGAAAATGGAAGAATATCAATATTTTAATTTTAATTGAAGATTATTACTTAAAAGGAATGTCATCCGCAATACCAAAAATTACATTAAGGGAGTTATATAAGTTTACAGAACAAGAATTGGAGCCTGATTTTTATTTTTGCTAACAAATCTTTGTACATGCTGGCCAAATAATATCTAGGTTGCACTTTTTGCCAACCAAAATTTTCAAAAGGCATACCAATTAATTACTTCTTATATATTAAAGCCCTTTAAATGTGTCGGCATAAAAAGATGTTAGTCATTTAGGTTTTATCTGACGGTTAAAAAGTAAGCCCTCAGATAAATAAATTACGCCAAATATGAAATGACCTAGTCACCAATACCATAATAATTGTGAGATTTGTCGATTTCTTTTCATTTAAATGTCTGTGAATGTTCATAATAAAAAAATATGTTCGTAAAGTACCTATATACTGACATAAATAGCGTATTAATAACTAGCAAAGCTAGAAGTTTAAATTTTTTGTAATATTGTTGATATCTTTTTGTAATTTGCGGTAAACGTTGCTGGTGTCACAATAGGCTAGTTGACCCTTTTTGGAAAAAGGTTTTAAATGGTTAATAAATGTTCTATTAGACCGAAAAAAAATGTATTGTATTTTTTTTAAACCTAGAAAGCTACAAATCTTTAATTTTAAAATAGACTTTTCATGGACATACAAAGACGCTGTCGGCCATTTTAGTCTATAGATTGTCTATGCTATGACGTGAACTGTGGTAAACAAAAACTCGTAAACACGTAGAAAATTACTTTTAACCGAGTTTATAATAAAAAAAAACATGATTTCTAATAAATACCGCGAAAAATAAAGTAATTATCATTACTGTATTGTACGAGAATATAAAAACACATCCTTGAAGACTCCAGGAAAGTTGTGGATTAAAGTGCCGAAAGAAATTAACCTACGCATCTTTATTACACTTATTCATATGTTGTATCAGTTTTATGTTTATTACTACATTGTAATACTAAATGCACTGTACTTACATAGATGCATTGTCGTTTCTCTGCTCCGCAGAGCAGAAATCGGGGTTTAGTGCAACAAATTCACCAACCATCAATGCGTCAATTCTTGGCAGATTTGTGCTTTCTGCTTTCACAAAGCCGGCATCCATAATTTGTTTAATCAAAAAAAACTAAGTTTACTGTTTTTTTCTTTCCTAAAGTTAAAAGTGTTTTAAGATAAATTTAGTCAGACGAAAGAATCCACCTACAGTAACACGCGAATGACATTTAGTTGTTTACCACAAGAGACGTCAAAATCATGGCGAATGTGGCGAACAGCGTTTTTAGTGTTTAAAAAATATAGACTAAAAAATATTTTTTAAAATTAAATTTCTACAGCAATCTTCTGCTTTTATGAAGTGAAATCGATATATTAAGGTTCCTTAGACTAAACACTTTGAGAAATAAACATTTATTTAATACAATTCGACATGAGTAAACTAGCCTATTATACATATAATGTATTATGTACTAATTATTTAAAATGTATTGTGTCATTGTTTGTTTACCTTAATAAGTGAAAAAAAATATGTTTAGATTCGTTGTTATGTGTGTATTATGTTGATGATTTTAATACGACACTATGTATTATTATTGAAGTCTACGATGGTGGTTAATTTTTATTACACGAATCCTCGTGAAAATGGCTCGAAGCCCGGAAGTAATTTAAAAATAAAAACTATAAATCCTAAATTTTATAGATATTGGTATATCTAAACTTCGGCCTTTATTGAACAATACAATGGTATTGAAGATTATTTTACAATCTTTTACAATAATTCTATTTGCGTATAGAATTATGACATTTTTTTTATTACAAAATACTGTAATTACTTTCTAGTAGTAACTTGTAAGATTTATTATAAAACGATAATTTCATAATTTATTGTTATGCATTTCTCAATTTAATGTATTGTGATGTTTGGATTGTAAACATTATTATTATATTTTTATTGTAGCTTACTTTACTGCTAGATTATTTGTAGTTTAAAAATACCAGGAAGGAAATATCACCTGTCCTAAATACCTGTCAAGAATCCAACAAGTACCATTCGCGATTGGGTCGAATGCACTAATTTATTAGACCTACCTTAACGGACGTGTCGCATTTTTCTAGTATTTTCACGCTGCAATGCTGTAGATGTATTCTTATAATCTAATAAAGGAGATCCGCCAAAATGACCCCAGCATCTACAGGCAATAAAAACGATGTTAACATCCGGATTTATCTGTAGCGAAATGTCAGTTTTTTTTTTACCTTCTTTAACGTACGTGTTGAATTTTTTCTAGTATTTTCAGGCTGCAATGCTATAAATGTATTCTTATAATCTAATAAAGAAGATCTGCCAAAATGACACCAGCTTCTACAGCAAAAAAACTATGTTAACGTCCGGATTTGTCTGTTGCGAAATTTCAGGGTTTTTTTTTACTTTTACTTTAAAATTTTGTATGGGATTCGGCGGATGTCTTTTATTTGATATGTTATGCTTTTCTATTAATAAGTACCTAGTTGGTTGAGTACCTCCTTGCACGTATAGTATTACAGTACAGTACCCTTAGCACAAATCAATATCGTATTCGATTAGTTTGCGAGTCCGAAATGTCATTGTCAAAATTTTGTATGGAAACTTTAACAGCAGCGTCATAACGGACGTAACGAGAACTAAAAATCAGTACACATTGCGGACTCGCAAACTATTCGAATTGGATATAATTCGTGCTAAGGATACAGTTCTTCTATACGTGTATCATACTAAACCAACACTTATAATTATCATTATATACTTCAAAAAAAAAATGTATTTATTTTATACTTTTTGTACAGTGTATAATTTTAGATATGGTTGACTACATAATTTCAATTCGGATTGTGGCCTATTATATAATAATAATAGTAAATTTTATTAATTTCTAATGACATCGTAATGTAAAGAACGTTTCAAAATACCCTAATTATCTCTAATAATGGGTTTTAATTAAAATCACATGTAAGATAAA